ATTTTTTTTTGAGGGGGGGGTAAGATTTGGTTGTGGTATATTTGAGTTAATTTATATTACACCAAGGATTTGTATAATTTTTTTAATTAAAGTGTTAAGAAGGTGAATGGAACTGAATAAGGTAACATAAGTTTCTGTTCTACAAGTCGTATTCCTGTGTGTTCTGTGGGTTGAAGCTCTTATTGACTCTATCATATGGTCTGCTACTATACCACTCTCCTTACCAAACCTAGGAAAGCATTAAGCTTGAATCTGAGCCTGAAATCATTTTGAACTGTAGTTCCTGGGTCTCAGACATACAAGGTGGATTTAGTTATTATAGATAGCACACGAAGCAGCATAGATCTGATTTAGAAGGAAGAACCATACAGGTACCATAAATTACACTGACAGGAAAAAAAAAATAAAATGAATAAAATATTAAAAAATAAAAAATAGTTTTGTTCATTTTTTCCATATATAAGTTGTTAAAATAGCAGTGACTCTTCTGGGATATATGGGGACATTGACGATGATTTCTATTTTTTATTATTATTATTATTTTATTGAAACTTTGCTTGACATTTGATCATATGCAGTTTCTGTATAATCTGTGGTTTGCTCCACACAGTCCCATGCTGACCATTTTTTTAGTAGAAGTGAGCAGCGACATCGCATGGATTAAACCTGCAACTACAGTGACGATTACCCCTGCTGCTCGTTGTAAATAAAGTTAATTTAATTTTGACCCTTTTTCTGAAACAGTCATGGTGTATTTCACCGTGAAGTACTTAATGCATTGAAACGAAATGAAATCCATGATTCTGATGCGCGTGTGTGTGTAAGAAAACAGACTGACCTACATTAGTCCTCTCTTTTCGTACCCTCCCCTCCCACTCGCTTCTGTTACGTATTGGCGCAGAATGTAGGCCAGGCGTGTACGTGCGCGTGCACAAGCACTGCCGCATTCTGCCGCACCTCCTCCCATCTCAGCTTCCATTTAAATTCACTTATACAGCAACACTGACTCCTCTCTGTTGTTTCTCTCTTATTTATTTTTCAGCACAAACATGGCGGCAACATTCTGCTGTTATTATTTTATGTTTAAAAAATGTGAATGCTGAATTGTGAGAACGGAGGGGAGGGGTGATTGATGGAATATTAAATTAAAGGCGGATGCAGAGCTCCAGTGAGCTGAGGACACGTTGCCATGGAAACGCAGCCTGGCTCTGGTGGTCGCTGCCTGTGGTGCTGAAGACAAGCAGGCGCTGAGGAAAGAAGCAGAAAGGGCGGGGGGTGGATGGGTCTGATCGGTTCTAGTTATCCCTTGTTACAATGTTAGAATTATTCTCTCTCATTTTATAATAATTTAGTCTTTTTTTTTTGTTTGTTTGTTTTTTAACACTGTGACATGTCAGATGCTTTGATAGTGGGGTAATAAACAGATATGTAGTAGGCGTGAGTTGGCCTCCTAGAGCCAGCTGGTGGCTGTCCCACTGCTTTGTTACACCCAGATGCAGTGCTGAGTCATGCATCTGGGTGCTCATGTGAAGCAGAGCAGCAGACATCAGGCTCTGTAAAATCACCCCTCAAGGTCAGCAGTCAGAAATGTCAAAAATGAAAAGGAAGCTTATTGTTATGATTATTATTAAAAGCTTTTTTTGTCTAGACCCTAATGGAACAATGTTGGTGTGCGTTTGTTTAAAACATACACAAAATTTAATTTGATAATTTGCATACAAGTTTAATTGTTTAGGAAAAACTAAATGAAAGAGATTTATTTGGTCTGAAGGGCATCTTCCTTTTGTCCACTGTCGTGTTATTGTGTTCACTCACATGACCTCATCTCCCCAGAGAGATGAGATCATGTGACTGCACAGAAACACATAATGAGACACTTATTTTAAGATGGTGAAAAGAAAGAATATATAAAATTTTAAAGACATTGCTGCAAATACATTTTATAAAGGAAAAAAATAATAATTAGGCTTGATCAAACTTATTTTTTTCCCGTTTCAAAATGACTGAACAATTCATTACACTATAATTTAAGTATTGGTTAAGACTTGTTCTGGCTCTTTTCTTTTTACCTGCACATAGAACTGTCAACATATTTATTTTTATTGGGACAAATCTGACAGTTTATATTCTGATTGTGACTTGTGATGACACTACAGAAGGAGCACTTACCTGGATCCAGTTTGAACTTCCATCACACATGGAGAGAGATCGGATGTCTAACATTGTGTATGTGGATTCAGTTCACAACATTCAGAATTCATTACAAACGTATCTTCAAGATGTTTGAATGACCACTTTGCTCTCTGAATTCTCATTAATATAATGCAGCAGTAAAATATGTATCCCATATGACCAGCTAATATTGTACAATATACTAAATCCCATTGTGTTACAAATATAATTTGGATGCTTCACATAATTTCAATTTAACTTTGATTTTTTTATACTTGAATGCCAGCTTGAAATCTTGAACCAGTGAAACATCATTGTAAACAAAACAAACTAGTATTCTTTTGTAACCTAGTTTTTGTTTACATCAAGAGGAACAATTTGAATTACAAAAAAATGAACGTCTGTTCAGCTTGATAAAAAAAAAAAAGTTCACTCATTGAAACATTGTTTTGTCACTTGAGCTAGTTTTACAAATTCCAAACAGAATAATGTGACATAAGCATGATTAACATGCAATATAGTGCAATTAACTCCCAAATCAACTTATGTCATCAAGATATGAGCCACTTTTTTTTTTCTTCTAAAATCTACATGTGAACTGAAAGCAATTCAACAAAAGTTCTGGCATGCCTTGTCTGTCACCATCATTGGACTGATTTTAACTGCTGATATTTAAAGACTAAAATGCATGGATTGTTTTGGGAAACAGACATACTAATGTATATACATAAGTGGAAACAAGCCAGTTGGTTAACAGCTGGCAAGAAAGTGGCAGAAGTAGTCATTCAGTTAGACCTTGAGCGTTGACATTTGAACACTCATCATTTCGACTGAAAATCAGGACCTTTCACTTACCTAATGAGCGAAAACAGTTTCTTTAAAAGGACAAATAAACCCCCTTAAAAGCATGCATACAACAGCTATAATTACCATTGTGAAAGGTAAGGTGACGAGAAGTGCATTGTTGTCGTTTTAATTAAGTCATACAGACCAGACCATAGCATACAATTAGCTCACATTACACAACAGAATACACTATGAAAGTACCACTGTACAAAAGCACTTACTGTAAATGTTGGGCTAAAATATGTTCCAAGTTCTCACAAGGAACATGATGAAAGCTGTGCTAATAAAGAGTTTGATCACATGAAATCTGAATATTATTTCATACAAAGGGCGACTCATGAATCTGATGGCACATAATTCTGTTCACATTGGAGATACAAAAGCACCAGCGTTTTAAATAAAGGCATATTTATAGACAAATAATGAATTATACACGTCAGTTGTATTTGTGTTTAGGTTTATGTCTTGGATAAGCAGACATATTCAGTAAAATAGTCATTAGTATGAATGGAGTAATTCCATTGGGTAAAATACAATAAACAGTTTAAAACTTGTTGTTTTTGAATTGTAAATGAAGCACTCAATTTTTAGTTTCAACAAGTTACACAGACATTACACAAAGTACTAAAAACCCATGATTGAAAGTCAAAAACAGTAATGTGCATTAGCATTTCAAATGTATTATACAGCCCTCATAGGAACACGTACGTCTATTTTCTCAGTTCAGTTCAGTTTATTTCAAGTTGATTTAAACAGGAGCAGTATACATTGTGGTCCACTTAATTTAAACACTTAATACTATATTTGCAGGTGTTTTCAAGAGGGCAAACTCTTCAAATAGTGTAATTTTAGGCTGTCGATACATTTAATTTTGTGGAAATAACAGTTCTCTTGATGCTCATGTTTAAATGAGAGGGACAAACATCTGAATATCATTGCTGGTCCCACTAAACAAGTTATCAAGATTGTGTTTTAAGTAAATTGATACTGTATGTGCAGAAGAATAATATATTAAAATCCATGGAAGTAATTTGGTTATTCCATGCAGAAATATAAAGGCATGAAGGCTTTAGGCCTCACTCATATTAATTTGAGCGTATGATATACTTGGCACTCATTGTCATGTGTTTAGGCCTGTTTTTCCTATAAAGCACAAATCAAGTACAAAACATAACGCTACTAAAAGCTAACACATTTATGGAATACAGTACTGACTCTGTCAATATTTAAATTCTAGGTTTGTGCTTTCCTGACACAGTTAAAGTTGTTTCGCTTCTTTATGTTGTTTATATTAAACATCAATGTTGCTTTGGAGCAAGACAATGCACAAGAGCTTGAAATGCACTTTTCAACAAACGTTTTTAGCGAGACAGTGAGCAGCTTCTTAAAAGTCTTTCAAATTTCCCACATCTGGTTATGGAATCCTTGTTCTGGCTTCTCTGAATCTTGAATGGTGTATATTTTTACAGTTCCTTCATTTATGAACATGATTTCTGTCCATTTTTCTTTAAAACGACTGTCTTGAAGGATATCTGGACCCATGCATCATGCATAATGAAAGAACATCCGGACATTGTTGACATCCGTTTTGCTTGTGCTCAAAATACAGGGAGGATATTCAGATTGGACACCATAGTTCATAAATGCTTTACCATGACAACATGAGCAAACCAGACTAAGGGTAGATGTGTTTGATTGAAGATGATGTCCTCCTTTTCTTCATTGAAGTTGTACTTGTTACGAATACTGTCCACAGCTGGAGGGTTGGCTTCATTTAGAGCTGCTGCTGCTTGCCGTGGACATCTGTCAGTGAGACAAGAAAATAAGGCAAATGTGAAATGGATCCAAAGCACAGAGAGGGCAGCAATGGAGCAAACTGAGATATATCATGCAGCTGATGTGTGTCACTCAAAACACGGGCTTCAGGCAGAGGGGGTTGGAGGAGTGACTGAGTGAATCCTTGAACATATACCAGGGAGGTGGCAAACCTATTAATAAATATCATGCTCTAAAATCATAGAAAGGTTTGTTGTTCTGTAACTGGTTTCTTTCTGCGCCTCTCCAGCACAAAAATGTCACAGTTCCAACTACAGGAGAATGTGTTATTTATGTTCAGAAGTGGAGATCTGTGAAGAGGACAAAGACAGTAGACTCTGTCTTGTAAACATTTAAAAAATAGATTCCACTCCTAATGTCAAACTGATGGGTCAGTGTGGGGGATAAACTCATTAGTATTCAAATGCACATACATTTGAGGACCAAGTGATTCAAATAAAGAGGTAGATATTGTACAGATATGTCTGTTAACGACTTGAAATTAAAAGCAAAGCCTGAAATTAAAGGCACTATCAACAAAATGTTGATATTATCATTTTATTTTTTTTATCTCTAGCTGCAAGTAAAAGTTTTGACCCAGATACATTTTATATACTGTACAGTACAGCTCCACTTCCAAAAATATTGAGACATTGTGGAAAATGCATGGAAAACAGAATGCAGTGATTTGCCAAGCTCATAAACCCAAATTTTACTCAAAATTAAATATAGTAAGCAAATAAAATGTGTCAAATAGAAAATTCTACCTTTTTTTTCCAGAACAAAACATTAATATTTTGAGTTTGATCGCAGCAATACAGCTGGAAGAAGCGTGGACACGGACAATAAAAAGTTGCAAATATAAGTACTTCAAATTAGAAAAAGAGAAGCATTTTGCAACTTATTAGGTTAATTGGCAACAGCTCAGTAAGGATTGGATTTAAAAAGAGCACTTTGGAAAAGCTCACTGTATCGACTGCGAAGCTGAGAAGATGTTCACCGGTCTGCCA